TGTCGTATCTTGCAACAACTTTGCCTGACTGTGGGCTCTCTCCCTGTTAAGTATGCTAGGTGTGTCCTCCTCTCCTCTATTACCTGTTCTTCCCTTCCCTCCCCGCTTTGACACCTGTGCCACTGTATAGCATGTCATTGTCCACCCCTATCTCCGTAAGCCGTGTGTCCCGTGTGTTGTGTGTGTCGTCTGTTGCCCCTTGTGTGTGTTGGTGTGTGTGTGTGTGTTTGCGCCTCCTCTTGAGTGCTCTCCCCTCCCATAATACTCCCCCTTCTCTCTTGCTTCGTGTCGTTCTCATCGTACACCACCACACTGTCTGACCCTCCCCCTCCCCCCTCCTGTGTGTGGGTGTGTCGTGTGCTCTGTGTGTGTGTTGTATTTAAGCTGCTCCCCCTCGCCCTTGCCCACACTCGCACCCCTCCCTCCCTCCTCCCTCCCCCCACACCCCACACACCCCTCCCTCCGTCGTGCTGCGTGTTGTGTGCTCGTCTTTCCCTTCCTACTTTGTACAGCTCTCCTCGTAGCGTGTACTCGTAACTAAGTGTCTCTGCGTGCGTATCGCCCTGATAGTGCGCGCTCCCGTGCCAGCCTGCTACCACTGTGCTTCCCCTCCCATGAGAGCAGCTGCACACGCGTGCTCGCATGACTGATCCACCCCCTTCCCTCCCTCCTTCCTTCCTACCCCCTGTGAACGCTACGCCACCTCATCTCGCTGTAGTCGCTCCCCATGACCCCACCCGTCTTCCCACATCACCCACTTCCCTCCCTCCCTCCCCTCCCTCTCCCCGACTCCCACACCACCCCCTCCCCTAAGCCCTCCCTCGCTCTCCGCTCGTCCTGTCGGCGTGCGCCATATATATTACAGTCCGCGGTGCCTCTTCCCTCTCTCTCTCGTCGATCATTTAAGCTGTGTCTGCCTCAAGTGTCGTCGTCCCTCCCCGCTGACCAGTCGTCCGTGATTCGCACCACGATGCGCGCTGATCCCCTCCCCGGACGCCCACGGGACTCCTTACCCTGCCGCAGGCGTCCTTGTTCGCGGATCGCGGTTCCCTTTGGCGGGGGATTTCTGCGTGCCTTTTTGCCTGTTTAAAGTATAGTCCGTCGTTTATGTCCGTGCGTTCGCTTCTGGCGTTCGCTGCCGTGTGTGCCTCCTCCTCCTCCTTCTCTTTTATATATTGTTCTTCATCCTTTTCTTTCTTCTTCTCATTCATGTTTCTTCTTATGCGTGCTGCTGTGCTTGTGTGCTAATCGTGTCGCGTCCTGCGTTCGCTACTCCTCTTCCTACTCTTTCTTTTTTCTTCTTGCGTGCGTTGTTGTGCCTTGTGTTGGTATTCCTTGTGTGTCATCGTCCTCTTTCGTTTCTTATGCTGTTTGTTTCTAAGTGTGTTGCTCCTTCCTCCTCCTTCCTCTCTTTGCGTTCTTCTGCCTTCTTACTGTAGTAGTTAAGCTGAATGAGGGTATGGAGTAAGAGGTGATGAATAATAAGGTGAAAAGAGGTGATGATTACGAGAAAATAAGTGAGTAGAAATTGTGAAGTAGTAGTGAATAGTCTGAGGGTGTTTGTGTGACGTGATAAAGGATTTTAAAGCAGATGTGATGTGTGTGTGAGAGTAAAGTGCGTATAAATAGTGAAAGAGCGTGAATTGAGTGATAACATAATTAGAAGAAGGAAGAAGACGAAAGTAATAATGGTCGTAGATAGATGCTAGTAGAGTGAATTGTGAATGAAAAAGAAATAGAAAAATAAGATGATTAAAGAAAAGAATATAAAAGTAAAGCCCCAAAAAAAAAAGAAGAAGAAAATAGAGAGCGAGTCGGGGAGGAGGAGGAAATAAAGAGTAGTGAGTGTAGAGTAGTGATGATGTATAAAGATGCTAGATAGAGTGCTGAGATGATGATGTTTTCAATAATCGACTAGAGAGAACCTTTTCTCATACATATATTATCATATAAGTCATTTACTTATATTATAAAATTCTTTTATATTTACTATCTTATCTCCTAATATATTATTCTCAAAGTCTCAATTATATTTCATTTATATCCATTCTATATGTTATTTTTTTCTTATCTTACTCCTTCTCAGGTAATCTCTTAATAATCTATATACTACGATAGTAAATAGAAGTTAGATATAGAACAGACAAGATATGAATTTATAATATAGTACTAAAGTATCGAGTTTGATTAAGATATTATGTTCTTTTAGTATTGCAGAGTATATGAAGTCAGAGAGAGAAGAGGAAGAGAGCAGAGAGGAAGGAAAGATGGGAGAGAGAGAATAGGAACAGAAGAAGAAAGACAGGTAGGAGGAGTATGAAGCACAGATTAAAAAAATGTAGAGATAAATGTGAGAAGGAGAGGGAGAGTAAAAGATAAGAACAGAGCAGAGAGTAGATAATAGAGATTGTTAGAGTGAGTTAAGCGATTAGACGCAGAATTGACACAAGTTTAGAGAGAGAGGCGTGAAGTGGAGAAGATGGCAATGGAATATTATAGGAGAGAAGCGAAAGATAGCGAAGGTGGAACGAGAGAGAGAGGGAAGGAGAGATGAGGGAAAAGACAGAAGTGAGAGAGCGAGTGGAGAAGCAGGCGAATGAGAAAGGGCACAGAGAAGAAAGAGGAAAGAGAGAGAGACAGAGCAAGAGAGAACAAGAAAGAAAGAGAGAGGGAAGATAAGCAGGAAGGGCGAGAACGAAGTGAAAGAGAGACAGGGAAGAAAGCAGGACGAGAAGAGAGAGAGAGAAGAGGAGAGTAGAAACAGGAAGATAAACACAGAAAGAAAGAGAGAGAGAAGAAGTAGAAAGAGCAGGAGACAGAGTGAAGAAAAGAAAAGACAAGAAGAGAGAAGAAAAGAAGATGAGAAGCAGAAGGAAGACAAGAAGGAGACGAGATGAAGCCAAGAAATGTAATGGCATTACAATTGAGAACACAAGATAGCAATTGAAGTTGTGAGATTAATATGTACGCACATTAGCCAATAAAACAGAAAAAAACAAGAGTACTAAAAAACTATGAATTGAAGTTGAGAAATTACAAAAAGCAGCAATTAGTTTAGAAGGACCGAAAGAGACCATCACCTGGCAACGTATGTTAGTTACTAGTCATATGGTTGTTGTTGTGAGCGACTTCTTGCAAACTGCTGATTTTGACTCCAATTTGCCACTCATTCAAGCCTTTTGCATCACTTACTGATCAGAGCGTTCTACTCCGTAGGCTGCCCCATTTGCGTTTCCTCAGGACCTGATATTTATCGAAGAAATTCTTATCACTGAAATACCCACCCATCCACTTTAGCACGCTATCAGTCTGAATACCTACACGAGTAAAAATTATTGTGCTTAATCCTTCCTTGGCGAAGAGGAAGACGTACTGTCAACACATATATTCAACCTTATTAGCTATGATAACTGAAGCGTTTTATAATAATCTGTTTTATCACTGAGGACGTTTCACTAGTTTTGATCTATAATAAGTAATACCGTTTCAACACAGCCAGGCTTTGCGTTTGACTCACAACAAGAGGCATTGTCGGTCGTATGGGAAAGGCGCTGTCTTTCGCATTAGGATCGGAGAGTGGGCCATCGCGCAAATAAAGACGCGCACCAAGCGTTAACTAACAAGCACGGGCACCGAACACGACGCACTGATAAGGCAGAGGACTACCACAGGATCCAAGATCGGCCTTATTACCAGAACTACAAGAGAGGATCCTACACACAGACTGTTTAGAGAGGCGACTGACGAGAACTATGAAAGGAAGGTGAGCCGACAGCCATACAACACACAGGAATTATCGCGAGATGACTGTATGGTCCCCCTGAAGACAGTCCACCTCCTTCAAGAGCAGGACCTATAGGGCAAAAGCGCTCACCTGTGACGAAGAGAGCTGACGCTCGGAGGGGAAATAACATCCTTTCCAAGAGGCACGAAAGGAAAGCTTATCCAAACCTTCCTTCTCGAGAGAGCTCACTATCAGGGTCCACCCATGGGCCAGAGTAGCGCATTGCGAAACCATCGAGACCTGCAGTGCCACAATGATGTCCACCTTAATGTCGAACAGGCGAAGTGAGTTCAAAGATTCAGGGCCAAATTTATCGGGATGTGATTATATACTAACTTTTATCGCTCAGGCATTATATTTCTCAAGCTTTAGTGTGATTCGAGCGGATCTGAAAGAGGGGTATCTGAGTGCTTGATCAATGCTTTAATTGAAGTGCAACAATTCTGGACTGTAGAATGGAAAATGTTCCAGTGCTGGATGCACTTTTATAAGACAAGTTAGGGCCTAAAAACATTCTTAGCCCCAAAGTGCAATGTCTGGCATAATAGATGATATTTAGGTAGTCACTGAAATTTTCCACTTTCCTTTGAATAATGATTTAACAAGAAGGCAATATATCATGTCATTATTTTAAATAACATGTTCTCTTGCAAGAAAATAAAGATAAGTGGAGTGGAACTAAGATACTGAAAAGCAGGAGGATGAATGTGCCTGATGAGGGAAACGTGTATGACACCAAATGAAGTGGATAAGTTATGGTCCATTAGCACAAATGATACAATTGAAGGAAAGAGGTGATAGTTCCACGTGGTGCTGTGTCACAGCAGGAAGCGTACATTTTCCTGGCTAACTCATAGTCTGTGTTTAATTTTATTTATGATAGTGTATCGAGTACTGAAAGACCACTTGCATAAGTGTAGATGATGATGAACAAATACAATGGTGATGATTGATATTTACCCAAATATAATGATCTGCGGATTTTGAGTCTTTATATTCCATGTTCCCTTACCCGATGTTTGAGTTATAAAGCTACAAAGTATGAGGCGTGATATTATATACGAGAAGAGGAGATAGTGTAAACTGCATGTTCCACGAAGATTATGAGTATGACATGT